TTTAAACTCCTTTTTTGTTTGTTGATAATATTTTTCAATTGAAGAGAATATGTAAAATTTAGGATAGTAATTAGTAGAAAACTATTAATGATAAACAGTGAAAAACATTTCAGTTCAGGGTAAAGTAATTAGTAGAAAACTATTAATGATAAACAGTGAAAAACATTTCAGTTCAGGGTAAAGTAATTAGTAGAAAACTATTAATGATAAACAGTGAAAAACATTTCAGTTCAGGGTAAAGTAATTAGTAGGTGATTTCTTTTCAAAAATTGCTGAGCCAACTTCTTCTTAAAAACTACCAAACTGATTTCTTCTTTTGTTAGTTCTGGTAAAAAATGCTATTTTCGATTTCTGAAAGAGTGTAGTAATTTGCATATGACAAGATGTGTATTTGACTGATGGGTGCAAAGCTCACAATGGGAGGCATTGCAGTTTAGTTCATCTGTGCAGGTATCTGGATTTATGGGTGTCTGTATGTGTTTGTCTGTTTTACCAATATCTCAACAACCAATCATTAGATTTTAATGATGCTTTGTGATAATGCACAGACCTGATACTATACCTGATAGCATATTTTTGGCAAAAACCATTGAGCAACAGACCAATTGGCCTATTTTTAGCTCCGCTGTCAACTTTGTCGAGCGGAGCTTATCATATGAGTGATTGTTCGTCGTCGTCCGTGTCAATGTTTTACTTATTCGACTTCTTCTTGAAAACTACAAGCCTGAATGCTTTGATACTTGGTGTATATGTACCTTGGGTAGACCTCTCTCAGATTTGTTCATTTCATGGTCATATCTTCAATTCTCTAATTTTGGTGAATATTTTTGTCATTTTTGGTAAAAAGTGATATTTTCAACTTCTTGTTAAAAACCTCAAGTCCAATTGCTTTAATATTACATATATAGGTACTACATGTGGATCTCTCTCAGATTTGTTCATTTTGTAATGATATCTTTAATTCTCTAATTTTGGTGAATATTTTTGTAATTTTTGGTAAAAAGTGATATTTTCTTCTTGTTAAAAACCACAATCATTTATGGTGAAAAATGATATTTTTGAATTCTTGTTTAAAACGGCAAGTCCCATTGCATTGATACTATGCATATTGTTCATTTTCTAATATATCTTCTGTTCTTTAATTGAAATGTGCATTACTAACAGCAGAGCTATCTCAGCTGAGAGGCTGCTTGTTTAAATATTCTTATGCAGTGATATTAGATAACCCCCCCCCCCCCGATGGAGAACTTTAAATGTCAATCCCTGATAAATATGCACAGAGATTAAAATATTCAAATTTACTCTGATGATAACATTCTTCATTAAGATCAAAGTAGTTATCTTTGTGTTCCCCATAAACGAACTATGTTATATTTTTCTGTAAATTGAAAGAGGAAGTTGACACTGCTACTACTGGTACCTCTTAGACATTCTCAGTACATAATTGATCACACTACTGTAGATTGCAATAAATCATTTACAGTTGTAATTTACAATCTCTGATATAATAGTATCCAACTTTCATTTATTAAGTTCAGACCAGCTACTTTTTAAAACTAATGAGCTGTATTTCACTTCTCATGTTTGACCTTTTCAGTTTATAGGTCACTGACCTAGATACATGTATCTTATTTATACTGGAAGGAAAACAATTTGAAGAATTCATCAGTAAGAAATATTGTGAATGTCAAGATATTATTTTTCATTTTTGCACAGCTTGTTATAATAAAAAGGGAAATATCACATTAGGTTTTAACATTTTCTCAATTTGTGTTTTCTTACACAAAGTACTTTTTAGTTCACTCACCAGGTTTTTAAATTCATTGGTTTGTGAAGGAAATAATCTTTGATATGTTTAAATTACATATTCACTGGGTTTTAACATGGACCCTAGATAATTAAGCGTATTTAGCTGTGAAATTAAAACACAGCAAACAATTAAGCCGTAAACAGTAATTATTGCCTTCAATCTGAATAAATCTAAATAAATACATTCTAATCTAAAATTTCACTTTTCATAATTCAACTTTATTATGGACATGAACTACCATACTGTTGGATAAAATCCTAAAAAGTATCAATATTTTGGTAGAAAAAGATCCTGACCATAAAGTGTTAATTACTTTCTGGTATGAAAAAGTTCAACCAAGCCTGTATTTGGGACGAACAAATGTATGAATGTATTTCTAACATAATTTGACATTTTAACTAATGCTGATAAATATGCAATTTGTAACTAGCTTAACAGATAGACAATCCACACAATAGTGACGTACTTTGTAATTCCATGTTAAGGTAGGAGTTAGGTTTTCATTAAATATGCATTGTTCAATTATCAGGGGGATTTTAACTTGGAATGCATTCAATTTCTGAATGCTGGCAATCATTGGAAAAGAAAATTAAAGTGATGAAAATTAATAAAAAAAAACCTTCATCAGAACTGCATGAGAGACCCAAGATGACACTGATGTTATTGCAGGCTGGGTATTGACCAGATCAGCTGGTCAATCACTTCCAATTACACTGAACTGATACTTTACACTATAGCATTCCAAACATACCAAAGATGGAGAAATATCTGCCCTTGTTACTGTATATCATGAGTTGTATCTTTGTTCTCTTAAATTATGACTTGAGGCCTGGACAAGGAATTTTATCAACACACTGAAAACACAGAAAATAATACATAAAATGTATTTGTTACAAGACTTTGGTAACAAGTGATTTTTTTTTCAGTGTTTAATGTTTTCAAAATAAAAACAAACCAAAAATATTAATTTTCTTGGCATGATGTAATGCTGGTTATTCAACTGTGCACAGTAGTACTGTACATTACTTTACACTGCCGTCGGCTAGATTTGGTTTATAGAAATTTATTAAATATGTTCACAACGAATAAGGCCCAGAAAAAAAGTTTTGTGTAAACTGGTTTTCCAGCATCTAAGTGTACATGTTATTTTAATTTAAATTTTTTTTATGGCAATTGATTAGTTATTTTTCCACTCACACATTTTTAAAAAACTCTTGTCATGACCAGAAGCCATTAATATTGTCATTCTGGGCCAACTGTGATTACCTATGTTACCAGTTACTCAGTGTTTAAAGACTTAGTTAAATGAGTTCATATTAGAAACTAGCAGATTAATCAGGAATACACTTTATTAATACTGTAGAATACATGTATATGTTTCCAGAAATCAGCGAAAATAAAATCCAACTAAAATATGTAATTTACATAAATTGCAGGTAAATAAAGTAGTCCACAGTAAAAGGAAGACTTTCCTTCAGGTTATAGATCAATTGCAGTCTTTTATGGATAGATGACATTCTGTGGAATACTTTATTTTCGCTGGAATTAATTTTCGCTGAAAAGGCTTTTTGGACGTTTTGTATGGAATATATTTTCACTGATCTTCGATGAGTTTATATAGAAATATAGAAAAAAATGTATATTCGCTGGATTTTATTTTCACGGAATCATCCTTTCAGCGAAAATAAATTCCAAGCGAAAATAAAGTATTCTACAGTAACCTGTGTATTTTGTGGATCTCAATTTATTGAGCTCTTTGTGAAATCCCAGTGGGTGAATTTGTCTTTAATTGGTTTCACATGTCTGAGAATAACTACAATTGCAACTAAAAATTTGATTGTGTATGTATAGGTGTTGTTGGTAAAGTTACATGTAGTGAGTCAGTCACAGAGGTTACAGTGGATTTTTTTCATGACCTCAGTTAACTCTTAACATGATTTAACCTGTACAGCTCAGTGAGTCATTCCTACTCCACACAATGTTATACACAGTAATAATTTTTACATGTGACTACTATATTTTGTAATTCTATGTTTCTTTTTCTTATTGGTATTTGCAGGTGAATGAAGCGGGCAGTAGCGACATTCCTTCTTGGATGTATTTTAATGATGCTAGTAATACAATAGAAGGTATCCCAACTCATGAAGATGTACATCAATATTATATATCAGTTACTGCCTATGGTCACTCTCATAACAACACTTACACATCAAAGGCTGTTGATGTATTTTCCATTGACGTTGTTAATGGTCCATCGATAGAATCATCTTCAGCTGCAACCCCATTAAATGAATACAGCAAAAATGGTAAAGTGAAGTGTACTGATGGAGAGCCTGAAGCATTGGCGACAATTATTCTTGATGCTAATTGGTCTAAAATGACTCCCAAACACCGTGTTCATTCGGTTGAAAGGATGGCAGAATATTCAGGATTTGATAAAAATTTGTTCAAGTTGTTACCAGCGGGAAAAGATGGGTTGTTCAATTCAAATGCTCTTGTTGCTGGGCCAGGAAATATCAAACATCAAAATTATCCAGGAATTTTACTCTCATGGCCTGTGGGTTGTGGGTATGATGTGAACAAACTCCCTGTAGTCATGGTGATAGAAAGTACTGCTAAAGATGGAGGACTTGCAAAAAACATTGGACACGATGTAATTGGTTGGCATATTTCTCATCCACAGCAAAAAATAAGTAAGAGAATGAAAAGACAGATTGCAGCAATGGCAACTATTGTACCAACTCTTCTACCAACACAGATATCACCAACATCAACAACTGATGTAAG